GCCTCGCCCTGGGTGTTCCATTGTCTCTTCCCCAACTAGTTACCCTTTGCCTTCTGGGGTGGGTGTACTGTGTGCCCCCTGCTGTGTCCACTCCAGCTCCACAGTTACTCACACCTCTGCCACCGAGCCTCCGTCTAAGAACTACAGAGCCCTAAGACATGAGATTACTGAGCTGAGAGGAAGGGAAGGAAGAAGAGAATGGCACATGTAGTTCCTGAGGAACCTCGCTTCTCAGTGCACCCGGCCAGCCAGCCACAGCTACAGCCCTTGACTCTCTCGACAATGCCCTTTTCCCAGGCAGCAGCATTTCAACACAGTGTCCAGAAGTTCTACAAGTATTTGATTCCTATCAATGGGCTTGGCACTTAGGCAATGGCTGATTTTTGCAGACTGCCATCCCAGAGTGGCTACAGAGCTGCTTAAGGTGAGTCTGAGGCCATCACAGAGGGGAGTCCTGTCCTCGCCCCCTTTGCAAGTATTGCAGCCCCACCACCTATCATGGTTCTCCCACAGGCTCAAACTCCTGAGGGGCTGAGGTGCCAAGTAAAAAAAGTATTTCTCTGATTTAAAAAAAGTAAAAGTTTGAAAATCTTTCTTACAGCATTAACAATTTTTTTTAATTTTAATTTATTAATTTATTGATTTTAGAGAAAGGAAGAGAGAGAGAAACATTGAGAGAAATACCGATGGGTTGCCTCCTGCACAGGCCCCAAGTGGGAATCAAACCCGTCACCTTTTGGTGTGCAGGATGAAGCTCCAAACAACTGAGCCACATCAGCTAGGCAGCATTAACATTTTAAGAATACAACTTTCTAACCAAATGGAAAATGAAGTTTCCACTACAAGTGTTAAAAAGTTCTCCCCCGAATACCATCCTATGAACTTCGATGTCCCCCTGAGAAAGTGCTGAGGAAAATGGAATCCCTTCCTCTGCAGATTGCTCTTTGCGAGCTGAAAGGGGCCGGATAACTTTCTGATAGTAGAAGACAGCTCTTGAGTCCCGCCCTTTAGAATCCTGGATATTAAACCACCTAGATCTGTTGCATCACCCTTTGTTACAGGCCCCAGATGCCAACAGACAAATCTGTCAACTTTTAGGATGGCACCAACTAGTTGTGATAGAACAAAACTGTGTGACTCAACTCCAGTTTCTACATCCACACGTGGGAGTTGATGGGAGGAGGGAGTATCACACAAAATGCTCATACAAAAATGACTGTCCTCAGCAGGATGGAGGAGGTGTAGCACCTCTTATTAACTTCTCTCCACCTCCAAACCAGCCTATGGCCTCAAAGACTCATCCATCCCACCTCAGCAGTGTCCTAAGTAAGTAAACACGGTGCCTGCCAGAGAAACTCACATGCTGTCACTGTGAGGTTGGCACATGTTATCAATGTTTCCCTGTTGCTTCGGAGGCCACACAACTTTGGGAAAGGAGCTGAAGGGGTTGGGAGAAGGAGGAACAGGAAGAGAATGGCAAGTGCAGTTCCAGAGGAAAATTCCCAGGGCCCCCTTTGGGGAGACTCAGGGGCTCCCCTTCTTGCTCTCACCCTATGACTGGGTTTGCTGTGGAGAACCTGACTCAACCCAAATCCTGGTGGGACTGAATCACCCTCAAAAGTATCCCAGCTCCAGAAGAATCCTTTCTCCCTACAATTGCTCACACATACAAATAAAAATAGTTTTCTTCTTTCCTGTTTTGAATTGAAATGATTGCCCACTGGAGGGTGCTCTTTTTATGCGTCATAAAAAACTTAATACTGATAATCAAAAAACTGGTAACTACCTAAAAGGCTTCAAAATGGTGGGGAAGACTACCGCATGCAGTCATTTAAAAAAAAAAAAGCAGAAGCTTTTAGACTTATTGTGGTAATCATTTCACAATGTATACAAATATTGAGTCATGATGCTGTATACCTGAAACTAATAGAATGTGATATGCCAATTATACTTCAACTTAAAAAAATTCTTAAAGATGTTCATAAATAATTTTTAATAAATGGGCAAAATGATCTTAAATACATTAAAATCTTAAAAGGTAGGCCATAGGACTACCAAAAGAGTATCTGATCTCAAATTATTTTCAAAATGCAAGTGACAGAAAGAAGAAAATATAATAAAACATTTATAATATGGATGAGGCCCTGGCCAATGTGGCTTAGTTGGTTGGAGCATCATTCCTTACACCAAAAGATGGTGAGTTTGATTCCCAGTGAGGGCACATACCCAGGTTGTGGGTTTGATCCCCAGTTGGACTATGTGTGGGAGGCAACCGATCAATGTATCTCTCTCCCTCCCTTCTTCTCTAAAATAAATAAAAAATTAATTAATCAATTAATATGGATGAGTTTTATGAGCAATTTAACATGTATTTTTTATATTCATAATAAATAATTTAAAAATGAGAAAATGTATGTAAAATGTACAGTTAACATCATGTAAGGTTTTGTTTTGTCCATACAGTCAGCATAAATACAATAAAGTTATTTCCAAAATAAGTCTGAATAATGACAGCTTACAGGCGCACCTTTCTGTAAAGTTTTTTAAACTTTCAAATACATTATTTTATATGATAATCATATGCCAGGTATATAAGATAAAGTAAGAATTTTTACTAAAGAAATTATAAGAAAAAAGTCAAAAAAGCAAGTCTAGAGATACAAAAAAATATAAAGTAGTGTTTAAAATAGGCTAAAAATTTGCCCAGCCGGGTGTGGCTCAGTGGTTGAGCATCTGCCTAGGATCCAGAAGATCATGGTTCAATTCCCGGTCAGGGCACATGCCGGGTTTCGGGCTCGATCCCCGGTCAGGGGCGTGCAGGAGGCAGCCAATCCATGACTCTCTCATCATTGATGTTTCTATCTCTCTCCCTCTTCCTTCCTCTCTCTGAAATCAATAAAGATATATTTTTTAAAATAAATAAATAAAATAAAACAGGTAAAAAATTCAAGAAATCTTCAAGATCCAACGGGTAGAATTTAAAGTAAAGTGGTTTCCATACTACTTCCAGAGCTTATAAAACAAACAACAAATAAGAATCATGTATTTCTCCCACCCATGCAACATATTCCAAACCAGTTTTAAATTCAAATTATAAATAATGAAATAGCAGTAAGTCCATATACCATTTCAGCGTAAGTCATAAGCATTAAACAGTTTTGTTACAATGCATCAATATAATCATGTATCAGCCCTCTTACCTCCAAAAAGACATAAGCTGATGATGATCACTACGAAGAGACCTAGAAAAATGGAGGTGATGGCCATCCATAGTTTACATTTTCCAAACAAGGTGTTATTACAGGAGCTCCAAGGGCTCTTCTGGTCAGCCTGGAAAGCAGAGGGAGACTGTGAGGCTGTCGTTTGGTTTCAACAAGCATGTTTCAGTACTTAGCATGGGATGGTGATACAGAAGTGAAGGCAGCAGGGTTCTGGCCTCAAGGGGCTACGTTCTACTGAGTCAAGTTTACAAAGGGGTAGAGGGGAACTTCACAGAAGAGTTAGCAAGCAATGTGCTGGGGGGTGGTCTGAGGTGGGGAAACAGGAGGATTTTGAAGGATTGACAGGGAAAAGTATTCCAAACCCAGGAAAGAGCATCCTTGGTGTTGGTGTTGATTTATAATAGAAGAGGCCAAGAGCCTTATCTGATTGAGTGATGGGTTTCAGGGGCAAGTAATGAGAGGTAAGGTTAGAAAGAGTGACAGGTTAGAGCATATTTGAGAGAGTTCTGAGTGCTGCCAGAGCAGTTTGGACTTAATTGGTGTTTACTGGGGACCTGTTGAAGGTTCTGGAACACAGAAGCTGAATGAAAGGTTTAAAGAAAGGTGATGTGTAGTTCAGAGTGGACATACCAAGAAAAAGCTAAAAAGCTACTGCTGTGACCCAGACTCTATGTAATAAGAGTCTGGGAAGGGAAATGAGGGGAAGGATGGGAGTGACACCAGGAAACAGGCTGTAATGGGCATAGTGAGGCACAGTGTAGGGTCAAGTAAAATAACTACAGCCAACGCTAGTTCACGTCATCCTAACAGCCCTGCGAGGGAGCCTTTAGCCTTTTAAAAGATGCAATTCCGAGAGACTGTCCAGGACTAATCCCTGCTGCGTGTCACTGCACAGCTGGCTGGGCTCCCTTTTGTCTACAGCCTCCCTGTGTCACTGTGCGGAGCTCCAGGTTCTGAACGAGCCCGGCTGCTATGGGGCTGCCTCCATTCCCAGCACTGCCACTGGCCCTAACAGGTTCCATGACTTCCCTACTTCCCACTGGGCCATTAGCTAATTCCCATATGGACATCATGGAAAACAGTGGAATATGATGGGGGAAAAGTGTGTTTCTGTATCAGAATCCCACTTACTCCACTTAAAGCCAGGGTGACCATCAGCAAGCTACTAAAACTCCAAGCCTCAAAGTCCTCCACTGTAAAACAAATTATAATCTAGCTCACAGGGATGTTGTAAAAACTGGAGATCATGCACATGAAACACTTGCTAAACAAACATTAGGACCTGAACAAATGGGAGCAATCATGACTGAGTGTTCACCTGCCCCACGAGCAGCAGCAAGGCGCATCCGGGAGCTCACTCTCGAACTGACAGACACCTTGTTCACTTCCTCTCCCACTGTGATTTTGGTGGTAGCCATCAGAAAAGAAAACTGTTTGTCTACCTTAGGACTACAGTTCAAACTTTCTCAATGAATGGTTCCCAAGCCTGGCTGCATATCAGAATCACCTGAGGAGGAATTTAAACTACACAGGCCTAGGCCCTACCTGGACCTAGAGGACCAAGATGTAAGGAGGTGAGGGAAGGCCCCAGCTTATAATTTTAAACTTCCCAAAGTGAACCAATTGTTTTGCCAGGATCAAGACCTCTGGTCTGGAGCCTCCTCACTCCTGGAGGGCCAGGCCAAATCTCTTTATTCATGGAGGCCTCCCCACCACCACACCCATGGAGAGGGGTCTTAGTCCATGAGCTGTCCACACAGCTCACCTGCCACTGCCTTGTCTGGTTTCAAGTTCAAATATAAACAGATACTGGCCTTATCTTCCCAGGTAAAGCGAAACCACATCTCGAGAAGGGTGGTTCTTTTTCCCCATTCTTATATCCCACTCTTATGGCTCATACAGGTAACAGGCACTTATTAACATGTTGCTGAGTTCCAGAGGGCTCCAAAAGTTTCCAGAATGTACCTTGAGAAATTCTAGAGTGGAGGACACACTTTGCAGCATCCAAGTGCACTCCATGCTGGCTCTTTAGATCAGGATGAGAGAGCAATAGAGGCCCTGGGACTTTCTGAACAGAGGAAAACCCTCTTGGGGTGTTTCTGACGTCCAGGAACAAAGCCACCTCTCACCTGCACCCAAAGACAGAGAACTGCTTCAAAGCCACCAAAGGCGAGGGCTCAATAAGCCACGTAGGGGGGAAATGTCCCAGTGAGAGGAGCCTTTAACTTTTCAGGAGACAGAAACATATCTTCCTATTTATAGAGCTACCGAGACATGTGCCATTTTAGTCCCGATACAAGAGGCAACCGGGACCATAAAGAGGAGTACAGAGTCTCGAGCCTCAAGTGAGTCACAGAGTGAGCGCCAGTGCACCTTTTTGATTTCTTGGGCCTTCACTTCCACTGTCCCTTAGAGGTGACAAACCTAGAACTCTGGTGGTTTGAGACCACAACTCTGTGGGGGAAGTCAGCTCAGAATTACACAGCTGTCACGGAGACACAGGAAATGCCTCTTCCGTCCAGCCCAAAGCTGCCGTCCCACAGCCTGGCCCCCTCCCCTGTCTGTCATCATCCTAAGGCAGAGACTACCTTGTGTAATTAATCTTCACAGGCTTTAAGTCACTATAAAATGGTCCGTCAGCCACTCCCAACCTGACACTGGAGTACAGCGCTCTCAGCTCTCCGCGCACTAGAACCAACCCAAGAATCAATATTTTCCAGAAGAGTCTCCAGGAGGGCCCACGGTGCCCTGAGGGTGGGGGCCTCCAGTGCAGCAGGTGTGCACTCCCTGTGCTGAGTCTCCCCTCAAAGCCAGGTCACGAAGACACGCTGCCTCCTTCCCTGGTTTCCTCATCTTCTCTTGCCCAAAGTTTAGGTCATGAGGAGAGGCCATAGGCAGGTTCTTCTGTGAGGAACTTTGGAGATTTTTGCAAACTGAGTCTTATATTCTATGATTGCACTAAATGATTCAAGAATTTGTGGGGCTTTCATCTGAACGTTCCCCAGACATTCACATCCCTCTTCACAGAAGAGTCTACATACCTGACACAAGGCCCTTGAACAATGGCCAGATTACCTATCTCTTGGGTACAAAAAGCTTTTCTTCTCTTTGGCTGAGTCAGGAACAGATATTACATAGATCTAGGGACATTTTCTTAGCATGTAGGAAAATCTGAACTTTATAATCTTCATTGTGGGATTTAATCCACTTGTTGATCTAAGCACAAAGGAGCCAGTTGATTCTTGTCCTAAATTCTGAACCACTCATTGCAATGGAGCTAATTTTTAGCTAGCCTGTTTGTATAAAGTCTTGCCTGCCTCAAAAGTATCAATGAACTGGATTATTATTATCATAATGATGTTGTCATTCTTTAAAATGTCTCTGGGACTTCTATTTGGAAACAGGTCAGAGCTCACGTAATGAGCCATAAAAGAAAACCAGTCTCATTCTATTACCCACAATTTCCTTTTCATTTCACCCAACCCTATTGCCATGTTTACAGTGCAGGCAGGCTAAGTGAACGTGTATTCCTTTCCCTCCAGCCCCAGATCAAGAAANCCATGTTTACAGTGCAGGCAGGCTAAGTGAATGTGTATTCCTTTCCCTCCAGCCCCAAACCCAGATCAAGAAGGGGAAATAAGTTCTTTCCACCTCCTTCATGTACTCTCCCAGATTGACCTAGAAAGATACCCATGAGATGGAGCATCTTCTTCCCAAGGATCTAAAACTCTTCCCTACTTCTCACCCATCTGCCCATCTACCTGCAGCTACATCAGTTCAAATATGCAACCCAATTCTTAAATAAACTTCTGTAAGTTTATGAATGAACAGGAATTAGCAATATCTAATTTAAGTAGTATACATAAATGAGTATAAATTATATATTATACTTATATATTTAAATTATATATTGGTATATATCTAGCTGTATAAAATAAACAAAAACAGCATAGTTTTGAGACCTAAAAAAACCTGAGTTCAAATCTCAGAGCCACCACAGGGTGAACTTGAGTATTCTGGTGACTCCTCTGAGTCTCAGGTTCTTTACTCAGTTCCTTCATCTGTCAAATCAAAATAGATACTGACACTTGCTTCTTACGTTTCTTATGATAATTAATCACATTTATGTATGATAAGTATTTGGCACATGGTAGGTACAAAACATGTGGTTAATAAAATTACATGGACTTAAGTTTACTTTTATTTATTTATTTATTTATTTATTTATTTTTCTATACTCACCAGAGGATATTTTTTCCATTGCTTTTCAGAGAGAGTGGAAGGCGGGGGCGGGGGGGGGACAGAGAGAGAGACATCGATGTGAGAGAGTCATTGATTGGTTGCCTCCTACATGCACCCCAACCAGGGCCGGGGATCAAGCCTGCAACTGAGGTACTGCCCTGGGCTGGAATCGAACCCAAGACCTTTCAGTTTGTGGGCCGAGGCTCTAACCATTGAGAAACCCCAGCTAGGATCAAGTTTACATTTAAAAATTGGAAATCTTAACATACAGTTTAAGGAGATCTACACACAAATTCTTAAGAATCTGAATATTGTGTGACCCAACGCTTTTAAGAACTCTATATTGATTTTTCAATTTAAAATACACTTCAACTTATTCTATAGAACCAAAGAGAAAGATTAACACATTAGATACGAGTTTTTTCTCTTTTTTCCCTTTTTAAAAAGTTTTTCCCATTGAAGCATTTCTAGAATGCCCTCCAAGTGCTCACGTAACACTTCACCTTCAAGCCATTATGTCACTGACCACTCGTTTCCCATTCGATGACCTACAAAGCAAATTCATAAGGAAGTCTAGGATATCTGTACATACTTGACTCAGGAGGAAATAATTAGCACAGCGATTTTCAACTGGTATGCCACAGTAGGCACACTGGTGTGCTGACAGGATTTTTTAAAACATGCAGATATCTGACTGTTTACTTAGGGGCACTGATCTCTTTTCCCTTAGATTGTCAAATTGAAAAAATGACAGCAACCAACACAACAATCGCCATCGGGTGTGTATGAATCAAAATTATACCTTTTTTTGTCAGATTGGCAAAAAATATACTTTTTGGTGTGCCACAGAATTTTAGTAATTAGTTTACGTGTGCCATGAGATGAAAAGGGTTGAAAATCACTGAATTACAACATGAAAGAGCAATCTGTACTAGGTGGGTGCTAAACAATTCTAAAATATTGATACCTTACATGTGTTTGGCATTTTCTTTTACTCCAGTTTTCAACAAGGGACTGCCAGGCCTCATGGAGAAACCGGGTTAGCCCCATGACATTATCACCACTGGAGAGCTGGGCAAAACAGGCCTGAGCCTTGCCCCA